ACCCACTTGCTATCGGAAATGGGAAAGATGATTCCCATTTGTAGCAGCTTGATCACTTCTTTTTTCACCACCTCCATCATGGGTGGATTCAATCTTCGTTGTGGTTGCCTCACCGCCTTGGCCTCATCCTCAAGTAGGATCCGATGCATGCATGTGGATGGACTAATGCCTTTGATGTCAGCAATAGACCATCCAATGACCAATTTGTATTCTTTGAGAACCGCAATCAATCTCTTTTCTTGTTCTTAGGTCAAGGCATTTGAGATAATCACCGGTAGAGTGTGATTTTCTCCAAAGAACACATGTTTCAAACTTTCAGGGAGTGGTTTTAATTCCACCTCCGGTGCCTGCAAAACAGATGGTAGCGGCTTCTCGCTTGGAATGGTTAGAGGGGGGCTTTAGAGCCCGATGGCAACAGTGGGAGTTGATTTAACTCCGCCACCATAACTTTCATGCTATTTGACATAGAGTATTCCAAAGTGAAATCCTCTATGTCACTTTCAATTGAGCTTAGTGCTTCATCTTTCCCCTCAACATCAAACACATCTTGGACCCAAGATGTCGCAAGTGTCAATCGCAAAAAGAGAGTGATTATCGGTGGGGTATTTCATGGAGTCGTAGATATTAAATTTGACTTTTTCACCATCGAACTTCATGGTTAATACTCCACTAAAAACATCAATTTTTGCTTTGGCCGTTTTCAAAAAGGGCCTGCCTAATAAAATTGGGACTGCATTTTTATCGTTCTCCATTTCAAGAACGTAAAAATCAGCAGAAAAGATTAAGTTATCCACCATGACGAGTACATCCTCTACTACACCTTTTGGGTAAGCATTGGATCTATCGGCAAGTTGGATAAGAACCCTCGTTTCATGTAAAGGTCCTAGTTCTAGGGACTTATATAGAGACTATGGAATGACATTGATTGATGCACCCAAATCTAACATAGCCCTAGAAGAACTAGAATTTCCAAGTTTACATGGTATAATGAACATTCCCGGGTCACTATACTTTTTAGACAGTTTCTTTTGGAAAACGGCTGACACTCTTTCACTCACTTGGATTTTACGCTTTCCATTTAATTTGTGTTTCCTTTTAATTGTGCAAAGCTCTTTTAAAAATTTTGCAAACCTAGGAACACCTTTTATTAAATTGAGAAGAGGGATATTTACCTCGCATTTCGAGAAGGTCTCATAGATGTCCTTGTCATTGTTGTATTTGCGGTTGTCCTTGAGAGCCTCCGGAAAAGGTGGCACTGGCTCGTATTAATCGAGCGGTGGGAACTTTCTTTGAGGAGTGATCTCCTCCTCTTTTTCCTCTTCATTTTGAGGATTTGTGCTTGGTACCAAGATATCCTCCTCTTCTTCTCCAACATGCTCTTTGCTTTTGCCTTAGTCATAACCAGTTCTTTGCCACTTCTCAAAGTGACCGCATGAGCTTGTTGCCTTGGATTCGGCTCCGTTTGAGATGGGAGTTTTGCCGAATCCTTAGCTTCAAGCCTACTCACGGCATTTGAGATTTGGCTCATTTGGCTTTCCAAGTTGTGGATACTAGATTTTTTTGTTTCTTGAAATTGGGCCACACTTTGTTGCATCGTAGCCATGTTCATGGCTAGTGCTCGAATCATGTCTTCGGTGGACATGTTCGAGTTCGATGTTTGACCTTGTTGTTTATATTGTTGAGGCGGAGGGTTTGATTGTTGAGGGGGTTGAGGGTTTCCGTACCTTAGATTTGGATGATCCCTCCATCCCGGATTGTAAGTGTTGCCGTGAGGATCGTATCTCCTTTGACCTTGAAACCCCAAAGCATTGACTTGCTCGGAGTTCTCCTTTTGTAGAGTTGGGCAAGAATCGGTGGGATGCCCTTGTGTTGAACATATGCCGCAGACCTTGACTTCTTGGGTTTTTGGATTTAAGAGGAAATCTTTAACCAAAGAAGCCAAGCCGTCCACTTGACTTTCCAATGAGTTGTTGGATTCCGCCGCCATGACTCTCTTTGTTGACCGCCGATCATAGTGTCTACAATTTTCGGCCAACTCCAAGATAAGATTCCTAGCTTGAGAAAGAGTTTTGTTGACTATTCCTCCTCCACATGCGGCATTAATCATCCGTCTATCATCATCGCAAAGACCATCATAAAAGTAAAGGATGAGGTCTTGCTCCGAATAGTCGTGATACGGGCAGCTTGCGCAAAGTTTCTTGAATCGTTCCCAGAATTCGTAGAACGATTCATCATCATTTTACTCCACATTGCTGATTTGTTTCTTTAGAGATGAGGAGACTGAGGCAGGATAATACCTTTCGAAAAAGCTCTTCTTTATGGCCGCCCAAGTGTCTATGCTTCTCGAGGGAAGATAGAATAGTCGATCTTTGGCGGTGTCTTTGAGGGAGAATGGAAAGGCCCTCAACCTTATTTGCTCCTCGGCGACACCGTTCGAGCACATGCTTGTGCAAACGATGTGGAACTCCGAAAGGTTTTATTCGGATCCTCTCCTCTTAGCCTGTGGAAAGATGGAAGTAGATGTATGAGTCCAGATTTCAACTCAAATGTAGCACCCGCATCAAGAGTTGGGAAGGTGACACATAAGGGCTGTTGGTTTAGATTAGGAGCTGTGAGCTCCCTCAACGTTCTTGTTTCAAGGGCCATAGTTATTGGCTCTTCAGACTCGCTAGAATGAGAACTAGCACTTGAGGATTCTCCCGGGTCGGTGTTTGAGAATTTGTTTTTCAACCGCTCGAGAGCTAGTTCTATTTCAGGGTTTGTTTGGTAGGTGAGTTGGTTTATGGATCGGGTTTTTACCATATACTCAAACAAGCTCAGAAAAATAGAAATCTTTATATATATATATATATATTTGATTTTTCTTGAAATAAAATAAAAAGAAAACTTAATTGCCTTTCCCCGGCAACGGCGCCAAATTTGACGAGCACTTTGTCACGGTGCGTCAAAATAAATCGATACTAACACTTATACGTAGTATAGGTGAAGTAGAGTTCGTATCCACAGGGAAAGGAATACTTTTCTTTTTAATCTAAGAAGTAAGTAAAGGGGGGAATTTGGATTGAATGATTTAATTTAATTAAAAACTAAGATGAATAACTTATATGAGATTTAATTCAAGAATAAAGGGGACTTGGTCTTGCTACTTTCCACTTGTTGATATATTTTAGTCGATCATTGTTATATCTATAACTTATCCCCTCTCGAATACTCAATCGAGGAATATATCCAATTCATCGAGGGTAGTTATTAACAACGACCGTTCATTAATTACCCTTACTGTTAGTCAAGTATAGAACACCGCCATATACCGACTTGATAGTAGCATTTAATCTCTTAACTCCTTGATGAAATCAATTGAGATTGATAACCTCAACACAACGGTTTCGGTTTAACCAACAAAATTAATCCCTCTCAAGTTTATTAACCACGACCGTGCATTAATAAACCGAAGTTACTTACTTGTAAAACCATCAACGATTAACCATCGGTTCGTTGATCGTTTCTAGTAATAATTAATGTCGGAACGTTAACTAATCGTCACTTAGCAACCCTCCAACATTAATATAGAGATAGATTAAGGGAAGAATTAATATTCAAGGAGAGAAGATAAGAAAATAACTCACAACTTTAATAATCAACAAGCTTCAAGAGCAAAACCAAGAAATGGAAGTTTAGCTCCTCATTTGGACACTAAACATACTAGAAAAATATAAAAAAATGTTATTCTAAACTGAACTTAAAAGTATATGTGAATTGGTGAATTAATGAGGACGAAATGAGGTGTATTTATAGGCTTTTTAGGCTTGCAGGGTCGTGTACCCGATCGGGCTGTAAGGGCACTCGATCGGGTACTCGGTTGCTTCGCGGAAGTATAAAAAACTGGGACATACCCGATCGGGTATGTTGGCGACCCGATCGGGTATGAACACTCGATCGTGGCCATAATCTCCCCTGCATGTTGCCTTGTTCCCGGGTTGATCCGATTTGATTTTTTAGCGACTTACCCGATCGGGTATAGGTCATACCCGACCGGGTACAACACCAAAAATCAGAATCTTCAATTTGTCTTGAGATTTTTGCACCTTCCTTCCATTTGTGATGTTCACCAATGGTCCCTAGAGTGATCTTGGACTTGTTTGAGCTCAGTATAAACCTAATCTAAATAAATTACAAACATTTTTACAAACTAAACTATTACACCAAAAGTGTGTAATTTCCAAAGTAACAATCAATCTAAACTAATTAAAAACATAAACATAAACATGGAAATTACATGAATGTCAATGACCGTATGAGAGAGGGGCATTTTAGGTTTAATTGAAATATGTAATCTAATACAATAAAAGGTAGAAGTAGATAAAAGCATCTAATGGGTGCTTTCATCAAAATTATAGTTTTGACATTAGTTTTAACAATGTCATTTTCATAATGATTGACATTCTTATGACATTGTCATTGACATTCTTTATGACATTATCATCCACATTTTTATGGCATTTTATGTCATTGACATTGACATTGTCATCGTGATTAATTGACATTACAACATTTTTTCGACGTTGTGATTTTTTTCAAATAAAATTAACATTGTCATAAAAGCTATTGACATTGACATAATTACAATGTCATTTTATAGCATGGACAATGACATTGCCATTGTGACATTTTCTTAACCCATTGATATTTTATACATTGACATTTTTATGACATTGTCATTGGCATTGTCATTGTGTCAAGATATGTCATTGTAATTCCATGACACTAGTTATGTGCAATAAACAACGTCATAACATTGATATTGTTTTTCATTGTAATAGTGTAATAGTTTTTTTTTTTAATTAAAATGATTTTAGCACCAACATTACTTTTTAATATTGGGACATTTTTTGCAACCTTGATATGATTCTAAAATTATGACATTGGTATGTCATTATCATTGATATTTATTTTTTGACATTGTTATTATCAAATGTGACATTTTTCGAACATTATGATGTTTTTCACTTTATTTTGATAATGTTTAAAATATTGCGACATACATATATTGTCATTATTTCACCATTTTAACATGTTTTTGAAGTCTCAAATTTAAAAGCTGGATAAGGTTGTAAAAGCTAACAATATAGACGCAGGTTTCATGATTTTCCGTACTATCAGCTGTCCATCTTTAATTCATAACAGTACAACTTAAATTTTCAGCAGCAATCCGATAAACAATTCCCAAAAGAACCAAATTGCAGCAATCCGATCAAACTACTCTCAAAAGACCCAAATTGAACATGGCCCTCTGCAATTCCAGAGAACAATGGAATGAGGATGAAGCTCATATATGCATCGATGCTTTAGTTAACGAACACCGCCCATCCAACATGCTAAGAAATCTACCTGAAGCGTTGCGGTTGCTCTGCAAAACTGCCGGCAGTAGATTTCGCTACCTTAACTCTGCCCTCCCATCACACAAACTTCTCGTGCCTCTCTCATCTTCCCTCCCTCCTCCGTCACGATGTCCGTTATTTCGCCCCCTCAATCGTACTTGCTCCATCTCCCACCTCTCCCTCCTGCTCGACGACAACATCGCCCTTATCTAATGAGTGAGAAAATTTTGCGGGGCGATGACTGATTGTCCGCAGAGTCAGAGAGTGTCGATGTAGTGTCCGCTACTGGTGATCCTGAGCATCGACGGTGGGTGCCGATCTGTTAGGGCGGGTCACTGAATGCCACACTCAAGGACTTCATCCTCACTCGTCTGATTGGAGCGGGGATATTTTTGTCCTTTCAATCACAAATTTCAATCACAAATTAGTACTACCTCTTTCCCTTTAAACTTTGCCAAAGTTAACTGGCACGGAGAATAATAAAATAAAAATTGTGTGGTTGAGGTTTGTGCAGAGAAGAGAGAAATAACAGAAACCACAAAATAATTGATTAAAAGGAAAAGTGACAAAGTTTTTGGGACGTCCTTTTGGAAAGATGACAAAGTTTGAAGGGACGAAAGGAGTATTATTTAAGAGTTTAAAAGTTGTAGGTCCTATTTAGATACCATCAGTATGTTTTAGTCCTATACATGTCTTTTTCCCTTTATTTAATTAGGGTGGAGAAGCCCGGTCCTGCGGTAGTGGTCTGGCCGAGGGGTGTGTTGGAAGCATCGCCGGCCGCCGACTGGGGGTGTTACCTCCACTTTTCAATTGGATTAGGATCCTTCCTGACCGGGATGAAGCACCTGTAGTGGGTCTTCTATTTTTTACAAAGGGCGGTGTTCCCTTTGATTGAGACATACATCATTGTTTGAACTTTGACCGAGATGAATCCCCTGTAAGTTATGGTTTTGGCCGAGCCACCACTCTTGCCTTTATGGTCGAAATGAAGTCTGACTGAGAATCCAGGTTCCTCCGGCTGGGCAGAGGTGGCATTTATCTGCGGTGTTCTTAATGAGGTGTTCTTAAGATGCTTGGATGGTGGGCTATCTTTACCCCCCAATTGGGCTGAGGTGCTCGGATGAGGGGTGACGACGCTCCTAATTTTACCGGAGGTGTAGCGGTTAGGAGGATCACACTTCATGTGTTCTAGCTCTCAATCAAGGGAAAATGGCCAAAATGGACAAAGTTTTTAATGAAGTGCGTATTGGACATTAAGGTTTTTTTGAGATCAAATAAACACCAAATTAGACTTTTCAAACCTAATCGCCCACCCCCTAACATTTCCCGTTAAACGGCTTCTCTTCCCCATTATCACCCAGGTCCTGCGATTAGAAACTCCCAAATATAGAACAACCCTAATTCATATATGCTTAGTAAATACAATCTCAAACAGATTATGAAGAAGAAAGCAGTGATGTCGGATACTCCTTCAGCATTGAGGTCGTCTGAGGCACGAAAATCTGAGTTCGGTGATTTAGTGAAGCTTCGAAGCATCTATGAGCGACCGTATTCTGGGCGTTCTAGGTTTTGCAGATGCATGAGTGCAAATGGAACTCCCGTCAAGGCACCACTTTGGACTTCATGGACTGACAAGAATCCAGGGAGAAGATTTCATGGATGTCGTAATTATGAGGTATGCTTTTAATTATTCTTTTCACATATGAGAACTGGAGAAGATCATGAATATGTATAATTTATTTATATTCATGTTGATATTCATACTCTTGTGTATACTCAGAAGGATGGTTGTGGCTTCTTTGAATGGCATGATGAGCCATTAACGGACAGAGCAGGGCATATTATCAATGAGCTCAAACGGGAGAATAGGAGACTGCAATCTGCTATGTTTGAACCGGAATGTGATAGTGTTGCTCAAAAGTTGGAGAGTGAAGTTGAAGAAGTCAACAGTAGGAATGATGCAGCCCATCTGGAATTGGAAAGCAAAACTAAAATGAAGAAGAATTATGTTATTGTAGTGTTGTTGTGTGTCCTTATTGTAGTATTATGTGTGTTTGTATGTTAGTTTCAGTTTCTTATAAAATGGTTTGGTTATGACCATGTAAACGGTTTGAATTTGAATACATGTTGGTGTTCGAATTTGAACTACTGAATTTGAATTGTTGTTAATCAAGACTTTGGTTTGGTTGTTAATATGAAATTACATGTTGTTGTTAGACTTTTTTAATAAGTTGGTCTGGTTGTATTACTATGTTTGAGAGCAATGTAGTGATAACACCACAAATGAAGTAGTGTACTGATAACACCAGTTTGAGAGCAGTTTGAAATTAGAGCCAAACTGAAATATCAACACCAAAATATATCAGTTCTGAAATTTCTTTGTAATCTTGGTGATGGATAGTCTACCCGGGGGTATATATCCGAAGGGTTATTACGGGGAATAACTTAGAGAGAAGTCAGAGCAAACAAGTAAGAGAGAGAGTGTATATTAGATATGTATTCAGCGTGGTTACAAATGGGGAAATGGGGTGCTATTTATAGTAGCAATAAATGCCGGGCAGGGACACGTGTCAAGCGCTCATTGGCCGAGGGGTCACCTCAACCGGTTGGCGCTGGCAGCCGCATGTGGCCGCATTTAATGCGGCTGTTGGATGGGACGTCTGTGCGGGGTACGGTGATCTGTACGCATGTGAGGCGGATATCTTGTTGAGTGAGATGCCTTCGGCCATAGAGCAGTAGCCGAGGGCTCTTCCACCCGATGGCACCCTGGTGCCGAGGGCTGATGTTTTCGCCGTTTTCTCCCAGTTTCTTAGTTTGCTTGAGAAACCCGTTCTGTGAGAATTTAGAGCCTTCGGCCGGGGGGCCGAAGGCACCCCTAGCGCGTAGTGCGAGCTGCTTGGTACTCTGGGCGCTGTGATTTGGGCATGTTGGGCCTTTTGGGCCTGTTGGGCCTTTCCTGGAGTAGTAGGAGTCTGTGGGCCGGGGGTTCCCGGGCCATATACTCCATCAGGAGTCCCTCACTCCTTTTGCCGAAAGGTACTTGAGGGAAAAGGAGTAACTTGTGCTTGCCCTTTGATGTTGTCCCATCGTGATTCCTGAAGTTGGTGAGGAGTTGTTGCTTTTACGTCCCTGCCGAAGGCAGTCCCTCAGTTACCCACATGTCGGGACTTGAGGGCTTGCTTTGTTGTTTGTTGGAATTTCACAGATTTTGTAATTTAATGATTTTCCCGAGGGGGTCCTCCAGTCCCCCACTCCTTGAGGCACTTGTAAAGTGGTGAAAAGGAGTAAAGTAGTTACGTTGCTGTTGTGGGCCGAAGGCTGACGCTTTTCGTTTCATTTTGGGGGGATGCCTCGTTAAAAACCTCATTAGGAAAAACCCTTTGGGAAAAAATCCTAACGAGGGAAAAAGAGTGCACCGAATTCCCCCAATGATGAATCGAAAATGTCAAACCTTGGTAAAAAATGGAGAATGGCGGGAATGCCGAGGGCTCTCTCTTCTGAGGGCTCCTGTGTTGATTTGCCGAAGGCTTGCTGTTGATGTCCTGGTGGCGCCGAAGGGGAGCCCCTCAATCCAGGGATCGAGGGCCTGCCAGATGAGGGCAGCAGTGAAGTGTTTACCGGGGGGGTCCACTGTTTGTTGATTTGTTGGTGATGAAGATACCCGAGGGCTCCCCATTACCTGTGTGCCAGGGGCCATCCGTCAATGAGGAAAATCCTCGGGGGCTACCCGGTTTTGCAGTGCTGAGGGGGAATCCCCGAGGGGGTGTCCTGATATGAAGCCCTGGGTTTCTGAAGGAGTGATCCCGAAGGCGTGTGTAATGTGCTGTGTGGGGCACAACCCGGGGGCACTTCTGGGTGAGTGCACCCGGAGGCTGTCCTTGATGAAGTGGAGTGAAATAGAAAACCCGGGGGCTTCCAGAATATAGCCGTTGGAAATATAGCCGTTGGAATATGTAACGACAGGATATAGCCGTTGGGGGGGTGGCACACGTGGCGTGTGATGGCTGGCTGTTCGTGGGCGGCGTCACCGGTTGGGTGAAACGGCGGTGTGTAATGATGGCGATCCGTCCGGAGGCCCGGAATCCAGGCCCAAGCCCGGATTCATCGCCTATAAATACCCCAAGGCCAGGCATTCCTCCGTGTGCGATAAACTTGTTAGCGAAGCTCTGCCAATTTTTCTAGAGAGAGAAACAGCAGCCCCCGGTTGAATCCTCTGTTCTTAAGGTCAGTTCTCCAGTTACCCTTCACCTCTTAGCTACCTGTACCGCGCCCTTAGGCTAGGAGATAGAACATTTAGAAAACACTAGTTGTACGAGCCTTCGAACTAGAGTCAGAATGTCGTCCCAGAGTGATTCTCAAGATATCTCGGGGGCGCCCTCGGTGGAGGACGAAGTCCTCTCGGACGTGGAGTCCTCAAGTGCGGAGTCCTCGGTGGGACAGGATGCCGTCGTTGCCCTGGAGTTGCAGAAAGCCCTCGCAGCTGAGGCGGAGGCCGAGGGCTTTGAGCAGGAATGTGAAGACGAAGAGTTGGCCATCGCCTGGCAAGCAGCTGAAGAGGAGGCACAAAAGGAAAGCGAGAGGGTCACCGTTGCTGTGCTCCCCCCTCGGGGTGCCGGGGAGGCCAGCACCTCTCGGCCGCTGAATGCGGTCCCCCTCCGGGTGGCCCCCGGGAAGAAGAAGGCCAAGGCCGCTGTTCCCAAGAAGAAGGGCAGCGTAGCAGATCAAGGGAAGCCCCTCGATATGCCCGAGGGGTACTCCTATCTCAACACCGCCGCATTGGAGATCAAGTCGAAGGTTGATGCGGCGGACATCTATGTCACCCAGCTTCACGTGGGCCCCTCGGCCATCGTGGTGACACCGCGTCCGGATGACGTTCTCTCCCGGGCTCCCGAGGGCTGCATTGCGGTGCACGTCCTCTCAGTATCCATGGGGCTCCGCTTCCCCCTGCACCCCTTCCTCCGGGAGTATCTTCGGTTCGTTGGCCTGGTTCCCTGCCAGCTGACCCCGAACAGCCATTCTTACATCACTGGCTTCCTTCAGCTCTGTAAGTCCCGGGGGTGACGCCTAGCCTGGATCTCTTCTTCCAGAGCTTCAACCTGTGCCGGGGGGGCACGCGAATGCCGAGGGATTCGCTAATCTGCAGCAGGTATCCGTGTTCAAACTCTTCACCGAGGCGCCCTCCTCGAACAAGGGGTGGAAGGACCGGTGGTGCTATGTGAAGCTAGCCGAGAGCCCATTCCCGAGGGAACTGCGTGACCACTTCAGGAGGCACGAGAAGAGGAGGAGCGCCGCCCTCGAGAAAGACGGCAGGATTCTGGCCATGATCCCGGAGGGCCGGGACAAGAATATCTCCATCAAGGACTGCACCAAAGAAGCAGATCTCTACACCCTCGGGTTCCGGCGGTACCGGTTCCTGGGGGAAACTGATGAGAAGTTCCCAGTGTTTGAGGGAGCCTCCGGAGGTAGTAGCTGAGGGCATTCTCACCCTCATCTTAGCACGTTTGTCCATTTGTTTTGTTAATCCTTTATGCCACTTAATAGTGACCCCTCGATCCTAACCCCTCATTTTTTTTTGCAGGTGTTCCAGTAAGTATGATGAACGTCAAAGGCCTCGCCCGATTCAAGAACAAACCGGCCAAGGATCCGAAGGGGCCGGACGCAGGTGGCCAAAAGCCCGTCGGTGCGCCCCTCAAAAAGCCCGAGGGCGATGCTGCTGCGGCTAAGAGAAAGCCGTCGGCAAAGGAGCCCCCCCAAGCCCCTAAAAAGTTAAAGAAGGGGGATGCCGCGAAGGATGACCCCCCGGTGGTGATTATAGATGACCCTCCGGTGATGCCGACGGCGCAGGTGCCGGGGGTGGTCCGGGAGCCATCTCTCGAGGTCCTCACGCTCTCCCTTCCGGCTGGTACGGCCGTGTTGAATGGCACGGCCGACCCGAGGGCGCTCCAGAGGGGTATAACCCTCGATATTGACAGGGCAGCTCTCGGGGCTGATGATGATCAAGCCCTTGAAGACAGGATCCTCCGGTCTTCCCTCACGGTGAGTTCACTGTAGTTTGTCTTTTTGTTTCCCACTTTGAACTAAGAAATCACGTTTGGCCCTGACAACCCGCTTATCTTTGCAGACTTGCGTTGCCCTCGGGGAGCAGTTCCGACGGCTGGAGGAATGGCGCCTCCTCAAAGCTAGGCAAGAAGCCAAGATGAAGGAGCTGATCCTTAGGGACTCCCAGGCCACGAAGCTGATGGCCCAGCTTGAGGAGGACCTCCGGCTGGCGAGGGCGGAGTCCGAGAGGCTCAGGGGGGAGAAGGCAGAAGCTGAGGCGGCCGCTGCGGAGGCCGCAAGGAGAGCAGCCGAGGAGGCCGAGGCCATCAAGGCGAAAGCTGTCGCCACAGCCCGGGAGGAGGCCATCTCCGGGTTCCTGGACGGGGGGTGGAAGACCGAGGGGCACAAGGCATGGTTGTCTTCGGTTGTTGAGGCCTCGGTTGATGAATGGTCCGAGGGCCCGGGGGAGGAGTGGATGGCCCGGAAGGGTAAGCAATATTATGATGGGGGTGAGTTCTTCACTCAAGCCCTCATCTACCGGAGGATGGCCCGCCATCTGAAGGTTGAGCCGAAGGACTTTGATCCGGCGGCGTACGGGCTCCCCCCTCTGCAGCCAGATATCCGTATCCCCCTCCCCCTGATGTCGAGAGGCCAGACCTGGAGGATTCCGAGCTCCGAAGGGAAGCCGAGGGCGACGATCCTGAGGCCGATGCAGAAGTTTCCTCGAAGCCGTCGGGGGAGGCCGCCCCCGGGAATGACATGATTTGATGTGTATTCTGTAATTTGAACAATTTTGTAATAGCTTCGGCCTAATCATTGTAATAACTATATTCACTCTTTGTTGTGATGAATGATTAAATGCCTTCGGGCTTTGTATATATGAATTGTTTTTCCAATTCCTTTCTGCTTGAATGTATGCCTTCGTTTTCCTTGAGTGTATGCCTTCGGTATTTTTGAATGTATGTCTAGGACTTAGAATATTTTTCGATTGTAGCTTGCCCTTGGAAGCCTTCGGTAGTTGGGCACC